CATCATCATTGAGTTTGACATGGACAACAGTGTCTTTGGCCTGCCCAGAGAGTTTGTGGTGGCCAGTGCAGGTAAACATGTCTATTAAACAGACTTTTGTAACCAATGTTGACTATATGCATAATTTGACTCATCCACTTAAAAATAATAATCTTTCATATATCAGTTCAGATTTTGGCTACTGTAGTGTAATGAAGTGTGATGTTGTTTTGATTTAATGTTACTAAAAACCTGTCAACAGTTACCATACTTTGTAGTTCTCAGTTCTGCAACTGTATCTAGGGATAAAAGTCTAAGAATAAACAGTTCTCCTCTTAAATCATTTTTTGACTCCATCTAGAATATTTGTCCTGTCATCTTTAACAGATGACATGCACTCAATAACCTTTGTTTTTAAAGCAGGTTGAACTCTAGAGTTTTGACCGGGAGATGTTCTGTCAACACTGTAGTCATACTGTCTTCCCACGGGATCTTTGTCATTGACATTTAAGAACTACAATGCTACTTTTAGTGTGCTCAAACATCAAAACAAAAAAATCTGATTGCTCCATTGTTTACTCCAATGTGTGATTTGAATAATTTTCCAAATCTTTAAATGTTCTCCCTGCTATATAAAGCTGTGTGTATGCAGACATACTGAGGTGTCTATTTCTCTTTTTCTCCTTTCCTCTTCCCCGCAGCGGCCTCCATGACGGCATTGGTGGTGACGGCGTGTATCATATGGTGTGTGTGCGCGGCCAAGTCTAATCGTCAAAAGGATGGCTTCCATCGTTTGCGACAGCACCGCGATGATTATGACGACGAGATCCGGCTCACTTCTATGGGCTCCAAGAAGTCCCTGCTTGCCCACGAGTTTCAGGACGAGAGTGAAAGTGATGAGGAGACGTTGTATGCCAACAAAATCTGAGAACAATTGCACCAATTTGGCTGTTGGCTCAGTATTTTCATTTTGATCTCCCCCTTAAATTTAATCCCCTGACCAACAAGGAAATGGTTGAACTTTGGGCAGCATCTCTCTCTCTCTCTCTCTTTCTCTCTTTCTCTCTCTTTCTCTTTCTCTTTTTATGACTGAGATATAAGCTCAGTAAAGACACTTTGTTCTGTTATACCAACAAGCTCTGAGCACTCACTTCTGGTCACTCAGTTATTAGTGCAACTAAATGAATACTTAAAGAACATTGTGCTGGTGTCTGGACTGAAGGGCTTGCTTTGTTGTGCTGCATCTCTGCTTGACTGGTTCATCAAAAGGACAGAGGGAGAGGGTGACAAAGAGAGGGGCGAAGAAAGAAAGAGGTTTGGTCCACTGTGGCTCTCATCCGTCCTTTTTGCAGGTTTTTGACTCGAGCAGCTTTTTTTTTTTTTTTTTTTTTTTTTTTGTTTCCGAGCCATTCAAGAGTGCTCTTGAAGACCACTACCTGTCCTGCCTGGCTGAGGGGGTCAAGCCTTTAAGTCCAAATAAACTTTTGTTTAGTGGATGTGTAATGAACTCTGGATCAAAGTGCTTAATCTCACACAATCTCCCCACTGATATCTGTCGTCACCATGCATTTCTTTCAGTACTGCTTTGACATAGGAAATTAGAAATGATATGTTTCTTTTATTTAAGACAGCATTGCCACGTTGGAAGTGTCCGAGCCTTTGGGAGACTGAATCCAATACTGTGCCTTGGCTTCTGTAAAGTTTACAGTCCGGTCTGGCTGCAGTATGTGACAGAAAGCAGCAACAAAGTGAATAGATAGCACTTGGTCTATGTTGGAATTTGATCCATCCTATACTCAGGTGGTAGGAAAAGAGAAATTGTGGTTAAAGGACTGCTGAACTCCAGTGTTGCACTGTTTCTGCACAGATGACTACGCTGGCTGACCTGGATTCAGTAGTAGTGTTTTTTTTTTGGGGGGGGGGGGGGGTTCCATTGAGCTGATTTTGTGGCCAAAATCATAATGCGAGCCTCTCAAAAGCTTTAAAGCATCAGGGAGAATCTCTTACTAAGGGTGAATGAAACCCTTCTCAGTTAGTGCAGGGTGTATGCAGCTCACTTGCACTAAGGAGGATTGTCCCATTTCATTGGCCAGGAAAAAAAATCTAAATAGGTAATCTTGGAAAAGAAGAATGTATTTTTTTTATTTTCTTTTTGGATTTATTAGTTTTGTTGTAGGGTCGTTTCTGACTGTCTGTACATGGAAGATTGCTGAGTTTGAAGCATGTCACATGGGTCTGTGCTCTGTTTTTGAAGAATGTGTATTTTTTTTATCTTTTTTTTTTTTTCTTTTTTTTCTCTCCCCATCTGAGTATTTGGTGCATTTCCCCACTAAACAATATTTTGAATACAAAAGTCATACCAGCTTTGTCCGTCCATTAATGAGTTTCTACAAGTCAGTGTCAGAGCCAGGCATATTACATGATTTAAAGATGCAAATAAATTCATATTTTCTAAATTTATTTATAAATAAAGAGGTTACAGATCATAAGCCATTTGACTTTTACCTTCAATTGAGGTTTCATATGCACTGTTAGAGAGAGTCTTAGTCCTCCAGACAGTGTTAACGACATGGAAAAAGAGGCTACCGACAGATTGCCTTAGTGGCTTTAATGAACAGTGTAGTCTGGTGTGAAATGATAATCCATAATTCTCATTTCTCTTGTATGTTAAACAAGCTCATTGGACAAATTTGTGTGCAATTAAACTGGAAAGTTATTAGAAGAAGAAAAAGTGGGACCTCTGTGTTGTTAATCCTGTGCTCAAATGTCCAGCATGGCATAGAATTTCACTTAAAGCATCTTCTAGCAAATCAGGTGAACTGCCAAAAACCAAATAAATGTGGTTTTCCTTACAGTAGAAATCCATGTGTAACTATTCCTAATTGAATTGAAATCATCGCACAGGATCATTTAACTATCAGGTGGCTCTTGAATTGGTAATGCTATGCATGTTTTTCATCACATACAGTAGTTTGAATGAATACACAATAGTTCACTAAGAATTTGCCTTGATTTCCAGTAAGAGAAGATGTTCTTTCCTTCTCCTTTTAACAAATGCAGCTGTCAGTTAAGTTGAACCTGATATCTGTGTAGAGAGACAGTTTTGTATATTATTTTTTTCTTTCGTATACTGTCTGTGAATGTGTGTGTATGAATTTTGAAAGTTGAACTTGCGTCAGGGTCACGCAGTGTTGGTGTGAAGATTTTATATAAACTGGAATCAACTGTAAATAATGATTGCCAATTGTGAATGGGGAAAATAAGTGCAATTCATGGTAACCGTGAATCTACACACAGCAAAACCTTTCATAAGAACCTCTGTGTGATCATGACATGCTAACATGCACAAAAACTCATAAAACGCAATGAAATAAAAACCTCTCACAATGCATGTCTTGCTTTAATGTTGCATTGTCTGATACTGCCATTATTTTCTTTTTTGTGATACTTCTTTGGAACAGACTGGCCAGTAATTAAGAGGGAAAGGAGAAAATAGAATCACCAGAACAAAATTTACTCCTAACGAGTAAGAGTGTAATTGTGATTAAATATTTTACTGTTAACTTTTACAAAATGTATAATTATGTTTCAGCTGAAGGAAACTGCCATTTTTTTGTCTCTTCCCTATAGAGACTTTGTGTGTAATATAAGTAAAAGAGCTCCTCACCATGTCTTAGGCTCCAGGAAGGCAGTACTAGTTAAAGTGACTTACACTGGATCCTTAGAGCTGTTGCATCAGTTTCAGCACTAAGGGATCATCAGTCTTTATCTGTTTTTTTCAGTTTCACTATAATTGTTAGGAAAGCTCAGGAAAAAAAACATTTGCTGTACAAGTAACAACTGACATAAAATAGATGAGACCTTGTATCAATAGGTTTTTGCACAGTAAAAGTTTCTGTATTTCTTTCTAGATGTTTGAAGGTGTTGGTAATAGGCCTAAAGATGGAAAGTTTGGCAGATGGCGAGGTGAGTAGTTATGCTTTTCATGTGATGATCAGAGGTTTTTCTTCCCCTAAGAATCTGGCATTTGGGGATACAGTATATTTAATTGCCTCCACAATGCTAGAATCTGTTGTCCGTCTACCTGATTGAGAGGGTCATGATTCTGTATCGTCTGCTGGCATAGTTATGCTAATGTTGCCCAGAAGACTCATTAAAATTGCCAATATTGCCAGCAAAATAATTGGTTCTCAGACAGCAAGTCAGTCTCAGTGATACTTAAAGAACTTATGGCCTCTCAAAAATTTCAAATTTGCTACTTCATTCAAAATACTTCTCCTTCACTGAGCATCAGGCTAATTGCTATGTCTAACATAGGCTACATGCATGAGTTGTAGCACTGGGGGGCAGGTTTACACTCTCTGGCAAAAGTGACTCACATAAAGTTCTTGCATTCACAGCCGAACTAAATGCTGCATTGCAGAGAATATGATATATATTTTTGTGCTTAATTTATGCAAACATTGATTTGTCACACTGAATCTTTTTCACTTTCAATACAGGATAATGCTGTGTAGGGTTGTGTCTATATTATGTGAATCTTCTTTTACTCTTGTTCTTTGTATGTGCCTATTCTGCAGATCAGATTCCCTTTGGAATCATAAAGTTAATCAAATCAAAATAAAAAAACGTGTAAGTCTGTGCAAGCCACAGGAGTCCAATAATTCAACTGAAGTTCATTCACTGACATTCATTTTAAAGTTTAAATTAAATTACATCTGTTTATGATATTGAAACTCTACATCTTTATTTAACTTTCCCTGCTGCTTGAGTTCAACCACAAAACGATGAAAACCATGGCAGCAGGGCTTGGAGACATTTATCTAGAATGATCAGCAACTTAATTATGTAGGAAATACTCACTTCCATCCCTTTGGTACTGGAGCATGTGGAGCTTGGGTAGTGTGCTGCCTGATAGGCTCAGCTGAGGGCGATAAAAACTCCTCTTTTTTTTTTTTTTGAAGTACAGCGTCTTCTACTGACACGTGACCCACAGCGGAACCCGGTGACGTCGCAGAACAACAAAGATGGCAGGAATAGGAAGCAGCAACTACTGGGAAGGTAAGGGAGCACAATTTGAGTCGATTTACATTGCGTAGTCTTTACAACAACATCTAGGACGGCATTCATAATGTCGACAATCAGTCTGCCATTGTGTCTGCCGGCGTTTTTGGCTCATACATTTATGGTTTAAACACATACGTCTCTATAACGGCTGGTTACAAGCTAACGGTGGCTAACACATCGCCATATAAATTAACGTTGTTCTTTAAGCTGTCAAATCTGTGTCGCCTCTCTAGACGAGTTTATCAACTCGGTACATGGAGAGTATTTTATGCCAGGATTAGATATCAATGAGCAGAAACCGTTTTCTACATTTTTCCCTCGGTTGATGTGCGGTTCAATAAGTGACGCTCCCTCCAGTGTTATAAGTTAATAAGCTTTGTTGTAATAGCTTTGCGGTAATTGTATAAAAGTATAAAATGCCACATAAATACAACGTAATGGGATAAAAAAGTAGGAATACATCCATTCTGTTAGGTTTCTTTTCTTTTTTTTTCGTTTACATATAGTAAAACATGAGACCAAACTTGATAAAACCTCTATTGGTAATTACTGGCGATTGCAATTAAATATTCAAAATAGTGAACGTCTGTCATTAATTTTAACCAATCAACAATAACAATCTGACTCTTCCAATGGCGAAGAAGTAACCTTTTATAGATACTGTCAGCTGGTATCATTTACTGTATACCATGCCTTATAATTACCTGCATCATCATTATTGTTTTTTTTTTTTTTTTTTAAATCATCATCTGTAAAGTAATTCGTAATTACAGTTACCAAATAAAGGTAGAGGAGTAAAAAGTTCAATATTTTCCAATGACATTTCATGGAGTAGAAGTATAAAGTAGCATAAAATTAAAGTACTCAAGTAGAGTACAACTATCTAAGTAAAGTAAATGTATTTAGTTACTTTCCACCACTTAGTGTTATGTTCTGTCTGGATGTGTGTGTCTGTTATACAGATCTGCGAAAGCAGGCCAGACAGCTGGAGAATGAACTTGACCTGAAGTTGGTCTCCTTCAGTAAATTGTGCACTAGCTACAGCAGCTCCAGGGATGGACGCCGAGGAGACACGTAAGATCAAGTCTTCTGTCACACCTGCAGAGTTTACAACCGTTTAAGGCACAAGTCTGTATAGATGCTCAGTCATACAGGCCATGAGATCTTTAAAAGTAGTGAGGCAAAGATTCTCTGGTTACAATCAGACAAAATATATTATCCCAGGTGCAAATGTAGCTCAAGTGTGTGGTCAGAGGGCCTGGATATGTGGGAGAAAGCTTGCCAGCACAGGAAAGTGTTGTGTGCAGGAAGGAAGTGTCTGTGAACAATACATTGAGTCCATACGAAGTACAAGGGGGTTGTTCACCAGCTATTATATCCTATGAGTGAGCCAGTTGAAGGGAAACTTTCCCATCGAGATCCTATTATTATAACACTATCAGTACTATTTTGTTTATTTAGGTAATGAAAGCACTACTCGTGGATAAAACTTTGAGCTCTAGCACACCCGTAATTTGACTAGCAGCAGTCATCTGTAGATAGAATATTATTTTTTTCCAAGTGGTGCTGGTCACGCAAACAACCAGTGAACATTTCTACTGATGCATCCTTGCATAGGGCATTCTCTACCCAGTCACTAGAAAACCATATCTACACTTGTAATTTAATCTATGCATATATCTATGGAGGGAGTGGTGTATATTCTCCCAGAGGAATGTATTAGGTCATGCCTATTTGAGTTGCTGTTTGGATGGTGTTAATAAAACATTTTAAATGAAAAGTACTAAATAAAGTTCATTTTGAGTCATTTCTAATACAACATTTATTTTCATTTGCACTTAACTCTTGTGAATGATGTTTCACATAGTTTACACCATTTGAACCCAAGTGTCCAAGATTCTTCACACAAGCATCTTTTCAGATCTGAATTGTTCTCTTTTCTTTGTTTTTACTCCTCAAGGTCAGACACCACCCCCCTGCTAAACAACTCTACTCAGGACAGGATGTTTGACACCATGTCAGTGGAGATTGAACAGCTGCTGGCCAAAGTAAGTAAATCGTCATGGGCCAGTGGCCCGTGAAAGGCCAGCAAAAAGACTGTAATAAGAACAGCACTGGATTTATGCTGAGGCTCTTGTCTTTCATCAAGAAAAAGCACACTGCAGACTCCACTTCTTGATGTGGTTTGCATTGGACCCTTGAATGCTTACATGTATTTAATTCAGTTCAAATCAAAAGTCCAAAAAACATTATTCATTGCTCCTGTGGCAGCTGAAAGAGATCTAAACAGGAGAGTAGAATAAATGGTACAGTATCTTTTTTCTAAAGTTAATGTCACAAATAAGAGAGATGTAAGTCAAAAACAACAGCTACATTCTAATAATAATATTCTGTAGTTTTGACCACAAAAGGTTATAAATGCATTTGTACCTATAATGTGCTTCATCATTTAGCTGTTTGGCATGAAGGACATCCCTGTGATGTAAAGTGTACATCCTTATGTGGAGCATCCAAACTTGGTGCATATTGCAAATACGATAACACAGTGTTATCTTGTTTCACATATACACAATGCTGTATTAGGTGTGTGTGTGTGTGTGTGTGTGTGTGTGTGTGTGTGTGTGTGTGTGTGTGTGTGTGTGTGTGTGTGTGTGTGTGTGTGTGTGTGTGTGTGTGTGTGTGTGTGTTGTGTGTGTTACATCTGCTGATCTACTGGTTTCCCTGATGTCTTCTCCATCCATGCGTCCATCCATTCACTTTCCATCTCTATCAGTTGACTGCAGTGAATGACAAGATGGCCGAGTACACCAATGCCCCAGGAACAGCTTCTCTCAATGCTGCACTCATGCATACACTTCAGAGACACAGAGACATCCTTCAGGTTTGCCTCTATATTGCTCTCAAATTCCTCAAATCTGTCTTGCCCATGTATTTTCAATACTCTTTATGTAATGTTGTTTTCACACTTTTTGTTTTCTATAAAATCACTGTGAATTTACTATACTAAATTCACTGAAGAACACAGCAACTATTTTATGAAGCGCATAGACTCAGTGTGATTCATCCTCTTGGTGTTAACGGTTTCTTCTTCATTTTCACTTTTGTTTTCCTCTCAGGATTACACACATGAATTCCACAAAACCAAAGGCAACTTCTTGGCCATTCGGGAGAGGGAAGACCTGCTAGGGTCCGTCCGAAAAGACATTGAGTGAGTACCTGGTCACACCATCATGTGTCACATTTGTGTCTGCAGGGTTTATTCTTCACACTGTAAATGCAATTCTATTGCACAGTACTATTGTTAACTCATTATGTGTATTTACTGGTGAAGGTACAGTAAATGGGTGGTCAGTGTCTCTTATCGTCTTACTCACATGAAAACTGTACATGGTTCTACATATAAAACTAATAACATTGTCATGAGATGCATTGCTTGTGTTTGATCTTAGTGCCTGTGGAGAAATAAAAACTGCCAGGCATTATTCATGGTGCTCCTATGTTGTAGAGCTTATTCCTTAGAGGGATAGTTGAACCTTGACATCTTCTTGGCATGGTCTTGAAAAATGTTGGCCATTAAACCCTAAGAAGATTCATGGCCACTTTGGCCTTGTATTGAGAAAGTGTGTCCTCTCCTCAGATTGGCTCAGTTGTGAGTCAGTGTATTGAAATGAGATGGAGGCTCCCCCAGACCATGACTCTTGTCGTTTTTTTTTTTGTAATGGCTTATTGATCTATAAGACGCAGCACTGAGCATACGGGGAGCACTGCAGGATTCCTATTGATCCCCCTCCATCCATCTAATATGTTGATAGTCTGTGGCTGCCTCATACAGGCATACATGTTCCGTAGGCCTCACAGTTACAGTTAAATCATAACTGATTAAGCTCTCATAATGCAACATTAAAAACAGTGCAAAGCCCCTGGCATGTTTGTTTCATGATGGTTATCACTCCTCCTATTACCTAATGATTTGATGTCTTTAATTCTCATTGGTTTTTACTTGTAAAATTCAAAATTAATATGCTACCATAGACTGACATGCACATATTATCATTATTAATATTATTATTAATATTATAGTAATTACTTACTAAGGTTAAGGGATGATGAAGCTGTTTTGGAGTTTATTTGCAGAAGATTAAGTTGAGAAGGAACACACCACTGTTCCACTCAAAAGCTTTCATTCTTTATGTGTAAATGAAGAAAGTGTCATTGTTTGTTGTGATAGTGCATTATTGATTATATTACAAATAATTATATTCTTTATGTTAACGTATTTTAAACCTACTTGTATCAACGCACCACAAACCATTATGATATAATGATAATTGGAAGACACGCTGCACATAGGCAATCAAATTTTAACTGTATATCTGCTCAGGTAGTTAGGAACATCCCATGAGGTCAGCACTACATGCAGCAGTTCACTCAATCTTCTCATTAAATCACATTGCTAAGGAGTGCCACAGACCCTACTAATAGGCTCAGTGCTGATGAATCTAATGCATAAAAATGAGCCAGTGTTGTTGACCTGGTGCTCAGCCTAACGATGACTAATGTGCCCTGGGGCTGCTAATGAGGGAACCATCTGAGCTCACAGGTAGGGGAATTGCAACAGTTGCTGTTATGGCACAGTGTAAATATGTCGAGCCATGCTTTACATGAGACAATTTCTTTTGAAAAGCAATATGCACCTAACCTCCCTCGCTGACCCTCGCTGGTGGGGCATGGGAAAGATGAGGTAGGAATTGATAACATCCGAAAGCAGCCGTATCCTGCTCAGCTGAAAGGCTACATTATTATATTTACTCATATTCTTTGCTGTCATGCAACTTTTGAGAAATAACAAAACCGTGAGCTTACTTGGTATCACTAATACACATCCAGGTTCAGTACCGTTTACTCACAACAGTAAAAAGTTGCTGTGAGAAAAATGAAAACTCAAAATTATTTTCCTGTAATCACAGAAGAAGGGGCCCAATATTTTAACTCTATGATTTTATCAACTAAACTTGGACATAGGTCAGTTCTTGGTTATGGCTGTGTAGTTTAGAACTTCCATCATAAAAGCAGCAGAACAGTTTTTAGTATAATGTAGTACAGAATAAGTTGAGTTTGCAAAATAAAATATTACGGTCAGTTTGTTCCAAAATTTGTAGACCTACACCATGTTTGGAAAGATTGATAATGTAATGGATGTATTTGCTGCATCTGAGCCTTTGTCCCTTTTGTCAGGTAGAGGGCAGTAGAAATCTTGGGCATGGAGTAGACCGGGCCAGGACACTGTTCACTGTAGGTTTTTATGTGTATCAGGGTTGCTTACAATCCACACATAAAAAATCCATACTAATTAAAAGAAATAGTGCACACTGTCTCATTTATGCAAGCAACTCAATGAGGAATACCACATTTTATCAAACACTGTACCGATATCTTCCAGAGTGCTCACAGAATCTGTCGGCAAAACACACACGCGCACACACACACACACACACACACACACACACACACACACACACACACACACACACACACATACAAACAAACAAACAAACCAAACACACACACACACACACACACACACAAACACAAACACATACTCACATTTCTTGTGTGCAGCTGTGCCATTCATAACCGCAGCATGGAGCAGAGCTGAGCTCAGACCTAATGCTCCCTCTGCTCCTGCTTTGATTTTAAATGTCAGCAACAAAAATGACAGCCAGCCTGTGATTTACATTGGTGCCCTTTTAAAAAGCCTTGCTGGAGTGATGAAGCTGGCTGTCAGTACAGGCAATTCTAGCCCCACCAAGGCATCAGCCCTGCTGGTGGGACAGCCAGCCCACGTTCAAGGCAGCCACTGTGGAGTGTGCTGTGTGTGCACGGAATATAGTATTTCCATTCAATGGCTTTGAATGGTGCACTGGGGATGAAGTAGGCACATTTGCTCCTGGACTGCTTACAGTTAGCTGGGTGGGGTAGGATGTTTATGGTATATGTGTATGCAGACTCTTATGTTACACAGTTCCCCCTCCTCCCCTGCTCTTTCTCTTGTTCTCACCCAACAATAGGGTGGGGCTGTTAAATGACCGAAATCCAGGAGAGAACTGGGATTCAGCTGTTCATGGATGCTGATAGCTAGAGCTGTATGAAGCAAAACAGAGTGATGTGATGTGATCGCTCTGTGAGTGGTATAACAAGCCATCCATTAACTTTAACTGCTTTGCTACCAAATAGCTCAGTAAGTGAGCACACTGCTTCGTTTCTGTTCTTTTATTAACCTGAGATTGTATGGTGCTGTCAATATGTGGATTCAGTCAGTGGTCTCTTACATAGATAAGGCTTATGAAATCAATATTAACCATTCTAAACTCTGAACGAGTTTTTAATAAGGTGCCCATTTGCAAAATTTCAATTGGTATGGACTCTTGAAAGGAAATTTGACTGAGACATGTAGAATCCAATGGATCTTACATGATTCAATGGTTCTGCCCCGCTGCTCTCCATATTTATTATTTATGGCTGTTAAAATTCTTCAGTTGAAGTGGGTTGATGGTGAGTTGGTGGGTAGATGGTTGGATGGAGGAAATAAGAGGTGGGGGGAGGGGGGGATAAAGCCGAACACAGCTTGTTGACAATTGAAGGAGAGGAGGAGATCAGGCCCAGCCCAGTATGGCATTCCTAGCTGGATTCGTGGCATGCCGAGCTGTGATTTTAAGGCATTTCCATTGCTGCTACATAGCAGGGGAGAACCAGGCTGGCTCGCTATATAGAGGCCCTGCTTGGCAGCAGGATCACCGTTTCTGCCCTTCCAAGTTGTGGCTTCCATACAGATGACTAGAAAGAAGCTTTGCTGTGTTAAGTTATTGCTAATGCAAACTGAATATTTCCTGCTGCTGCTGTTTCATATTGAAAGCTTTCCACTGGTGAACCACAAGAAGGCTTTTACTGGAAAGCAGGTACAGGAATTGCAGTGGCATTGGCGCTGAGTGCTATTTGATAAAAACTGGTCTACACAGCAGTTACATTAGTGCTTCTTGTCTGTGGATCAGATTAATTATTGCAAGGAATGGTAAAGAAGTAGTTGCTGCAGTGAGCTAGTTAGATATATATATATATATATATATATATATGTCATGTCACATCACCTTAAAGACAAATCTTACATCAATGTCTTTAATTTGTGACCGTGTTGTTTTTACTAATGCATCTGCGTGCCTTTTTTCAGGACATATAAGAGTGGCTCCGGGGTCAACAACAGAAGAACAGAGCTGTTTCTAAAGGAGCATGAGCACTTGAGAAAGTAAGTTTCCAGCACCTTTCTTTGCTATATTTGAAGAATTTGAAGTTACCAACAATCCAACTTGATAATTCACTTTAGCATATCCAAGCTGGGGTAACTCATCTTGATGGTGCAGCACATTCATTTGTACTTTAATTTCTTACAAAAACTAATTTTCTATTGTATTACATAACTTTGCATCTTAAAGCTGCAAAAAGTTAGGCATACTTTTCATACTGACACAGTAGGTCAAACTACGATCTGCCAGCAACCTAATTAGTGTCCTTCTATCATTTGGCTGACTCTCAAGCACTGCAGAACAGCATGAGGTAGTGAAGTCTGTGAAATCTGTATGTGTGTACCTGTGTGTAGAGGCACCCTGTGTTGAAAGTAAAATTGGATGTCAGCAGGACTCACACACACACACACACACACACACACACACACACACACACACACACACACACACACACACATACACAAAGCAAACATAACAAACCACAGAGGAGCTTTTAACATTGCCTAATATAGAGAATTCCATCTGATAATTTGAATATTGCTGGTGAATATAAAGCAGTCTGATTGATTCTCTCTCAGGGTAAATGTTTGTTTCCTGTTTCAGCTGCTCAAATTAATAATGCCCCAGTTATTTCCCATCACAGACTTCTTAAGTCATTTAAAAACAGACTTTACCTTCCCTGACACGACATGGCTAATGTTTGTCTCTAGATTTATCAAATGAAAAGGGATTTGTAGAGTGATTCATAAATAGGGAGTGAACTCAACAACATGAATACCTGTAAAATACAATAATACAATGAGGTTTGTGATTTTGCATTGTTTCCATAAACTCTTTTGCCAAAGTTTCAGTGCTGTATGTAAAAGGAAATAATGATCTGCATTTAAATTACTTTACATTACTTCCCCTGTCTTTCACCATGTACACTTTGATTATCTGACTATCAACAAACACATTATTGTTGAGGTCATTTGTCTGGATCAGCAGATTTTTTAATCAAGTTTAGTTAAAAAAAAAAAAAGAATAGTAACACAAAGAAGGCTGACAAAGAGGTGGGGGGCAGCATGACCATGGGTTGGGTCATTTCATCATAAATCCACTTTCCTAAAAGGCTGTGCACAGTTACAGTATGTATTTGTAAGGTCTTTGCAGCACACATGTAGCTGCCTCTCAAGACAATATTACTTTTGTTTTTTAGTGCTGAGCAGTTGAGCGATCTTCAATTTGGTTTTTAAATTTATAGCTGAAAATTTATCCTGAAATAATTACAATTGCATCAACATGTTCATGTGAATGAAGGGTGACCTAACCTTGTTAAGGATCTATCTTTTGGATTCTGATGATAAAATAATGTGAATGTAAAATGAGAACAGTTGCTGCTGGTGATTCATTGAGTTGATCCTCCTCCGCCTTGATGCAGCCATCTGCATTCCCAGCAGTTAAGCTCTTGTGCCAATCCAGGACAATTGATCAGGATATTGATAATGAAATTATCTTATTAAACCACAACCCATATTATAGGGCTTCCCCACAACCGCTGACAAAGATGGGAAGGATGAGGCGATTGGAGATGAGGATCATGTTACGCTTGATTGATCCTATTAGAGCCATAAAACAGGAAAGAGGGCCGAAAGAGAAAAGGGCTAAAATGTGTTAGTGGTCAGAGCAATGGTCTGAAGTCTCACTTAAGACGGAGCATGGATACTCGATAAAGATGAGAGATCTAAGTTAAAATGCTCTTTATCTTTAGCAATCAGTGATTGACTCTCTTTTTAAAAGGCAGTTTTAAGGACAAGTATTTTGAATAATGAGATGTCCCTTATGTGACCTTGTATGATCTGATTGGATCTAGAAAGATTTCTGAGATGTTTTTTTTAATTTAACATTCACACCATGTTACAGAGAGGCGGCTGTGGAGTTGTCATTTTGCAGCTCAGCTTGTGATTAAAAAGCTGCTTTGTGCCCTTGGCTTTTTACCTCAGGCCAGTGAGCCTACACGAGGAATGACATTTTCTGTCTCTACAATGGTTTTAGGGTAGATAATGTAATGTATGATCAGTACACGTTTGCATAAGCAGTGTAGTGACTCTGCGTTTGAGTCTATAATATATTGGCAAGTGGGTGTACCAGCATTGCAAAACTGATCAGGTAAGACTAATCACTTTCAAACAAATGAAAAAACAAGAAGTCCCTGCCAGTTAATCTACAAATGACTGTGGTGGAGTGGAAAGCTTGCCAGCCTGCGTTCATTCTCAACAGAACCTAATAAGACTGACATGCCAAGATTCATTTTTAAGATGGCCTCCTCTCTAGTTTTTGCTGGTAGAGATGAAACTTGTGTGTTTCCACATAAGTCAGACCTACCTACATATTAATTTTGAAAGCTGTTATTTCAGGATACAACTACAAAAAAGAGTGGCAATTAATACTTTAGCAAGAGTTTGTAATAGTGTTTGCAAACTAACTTGACGCTGTTTAGTAATTAGATCTACCACAAATGTTGTTTCTCATGCATTGTCAGCTGTGAGACTATATATAGACAGGTGCTGCCTTTCCAATCATGTCCAGTCCAGTGAATTTACCAAAAGGAGGACTCCAATCAAGGTGTAGAAACATCTCAAAGATGAAATGGGTGGCGCCTGAGCTAAATTTTGAGTGTCATAGCAAAGGGTCTGAATACTTACGTCAGTGTGATATTTCAGTTTTTCCTTTTTAATACATTTGCTGAAATTTCTAAAATTCTGTTTTTATTTTGTCATTATGGGGCATTGAGTGTGGATTGATGAGGGGAAGAAATGTTTTTTAAATTTGAGCATAAGACTGCAACATAAAATGTGAAAAAATTGAAGGGGGAGGAACACTGTCTGAATGCACTGTATCTATTTTTCCATCTCTTTAGGCCATAAAACTTAGTGTTCATGAATAAACTAGAAGCAGGAAGGGGCAGGTCCATTAAAAGTTCATGCTGGACCAGTTCTAATGGTTGTGGTCAGACTGATAAGGACATCTTGTCAAACAGGATTTTTTTGACACAGTGAAGTTAGGGAAATTTACATTTCACATTGGCATACATTTGCATGAAATTTGATAGCATGTGTTTGCTTTCTGTGTTTATTTGCCATCAACAACAAATCCTAGTTCAAAACTTACCTAAAAATTCAGGTCTTTAGGCTTATGCCTCCTAATTGTATGACGATGGTTGGAGCCCATTATACCTGCTTGCAGTCATGTTTTATGTCATAGCCATTGTTTTAAACATTTCTCGTCTGCGTGTGTATTTTCAAAAAGTAAGGTATATCAAGTCAGGGCACTTCATGGCTACATGTGACCCATGGCTACATAATTACAAAATTTTATATAAATAATTTTTTTTCCAGTGAGTGCTACAAAGGATGTCTCCAGTGTCATTATTTCACAGAGTGAACAACAGAAATTTAATGGGTGTTGAATGTCTGTGATTGCAGTTCATGCACACACCCGATCCAGTTGAATGTCTATGGTTTATGTGCCTGACGAGAAGGAGAGAAGAGAAATAAGAGAAAATGACATAGAGGAGAAACAAGATTAGAAAGATACACAGGTTCGCTAAGCTCCAACGCTAATAATCGTTAGCAGAGCTGTGTGGCTGAGAGTCGCTTTCAGTGGTTAAAATGGAAAACATCGTCATATCAGCTGTCACTAATTAATGTTTATTCTGTCAGTAACTTGATGTCAGGCCTAAAGTAAAGTTGGCTGTTGTCGGTTTGTGTGCTCTCTACACACTGTTAGTTCATTGGTGGTTGTACAGTGGTGTTCGGCACTTCTTTCCTCACAAACCATCTTTGACAAGTAGTGAGTGTGGCAGTTCATGTAGCAGGGTGGGTGGCTTTCAACTTAGGAACACAAGTGCTCCTTCTAAAAGAAACTCCTTTTGGGCTTTGCTGTTGCGGTCCAGCCAAAAATCTGCTGTATGTTTGTAGGTGTTTCATCATCATTCATTTTTTCTCAGCATTTTAACTATTTATCTGCCACATCCTCTTTCTTTTCTTTTCTTTTCTTTTCTTTTCTTTTCTTTTCTTTTCTTTTCTTTTCTTTTCCTTTCCCCTGATTTTGCTCTGCTTGGCCTGTTGCCCATCTTACAAAGTTTAATCTGAGCTGGCAGTTCCCTGATATGCTAATGTAATCAGTGGAGGAGAGCTCTGAGGATTGAGGGTAAAATGCTGCCCTGTGCTCTCTGGCTGACCAAAGCTTTCAGAATCCGTTCAGAAAGTTTAGAGGTTCATTTGGAAATGTATTCAACATGCATGTCAGTGTCTGAAACATCAAAATACATGTAAGTCTGCTTGCAAAAACGTCTGTACTTAAATGGTAGAACTTTTGCTGAGTGCATTAACCATATTCACTGCCTATCTTATATTTGGCAGTTTGCTATTATATATTGAAGTGCATTTTCCTGTGAGGACATTATCAAGATTAAGATTGTGTAGTATTTATTGCTATGATGTAAAGGGAGATGCATTTTTCTTTTTTTTTTAATGCTTCCAGTGGGTTGAAGTGTTTTGCTGCTCTCAGCTGTGCGTTGATTGAACTCTGGTTGCTTGGTGTTTTGTTTGCCTAAGAGCCTCCCATTTGAACAGTGTTCATCTCTGAGCAGCAAAGTGATCTACATCGCCACAATTTTTTCTCTGCTGTCCAGTCGCAGGATGTACGCTGGCCCTACCAGCTCAACTGTCCGAAACAAAATGGAGGAAGAGTTGGGTAGCTCATGTTACTGACAACACATGCTATTTGATCTAACAGGGAGATATTAACATAACATAACAATAATATAAACAATATCATAGACAATACAAACATAAACAATATCTTCATATTTACATTTGTTTTCCTGTTACTCCTGGTTTTTGGTTATCTGATTGTAGCTACTATTAATTGTGTACTAACACTGGCACAAAATTGTGATCAGTGTGATCAGGATCAAAGTGGCAGGTGATATAATCATTTTCAAGCGTTTGCATTTCTTCTTTCAAAATGTTGTGTGTCCAAAATAAAAGAATTCCAGTTCAGTAGTTATTTCAGATTCCAAACACCAAAGTACCTGTTTAGCATCTCTAGGGTCAGGGTCCTCTTTCTTATGCTTGGTTTTAAATATATTAATTTTTCCTTGAAGGTTGGCAACTTTAATATAAAGATCAGCTCCATGAATCTCACAATGTGTAAGGTGTAATGAGTAAGCATAAGTGGATTTTGAATCATCTCTGAGGTTTGATTTGTGACACCTTTTTACTCTGTCGCTGATGCAGTTTGCTTTCTGCAACTGTTGCCAAGATTTCTGAGATTGTTTTCTTGGCAAAGTAATTAATGTTTCAGTTTACCTGGCTGATTTTATTAGTTCCCTCATATTGCTCTAAAAGCCAACCTGACAGAGCATTACTCTCAGAAGGTTACTATAAATTATTTTCTTTCAGAATACCACTTAAATAGTCTAATAATTGATGAGTCGACAGAAAACAAAGAAGTTATTCGTCACTTTGAGTGCTACCTGCTTAACACTGCCAATGCAGACAACATTTTTTTTTACCACTGACTGAAGTAGTTTTGAATTCAAACAGAAAGTGGACACATGCATAGGAGCAGTAAACAGCCTGTCTGAGTCTATGTACATGTGCGTGTGAATAGCAAGAGAGTGTAGAGAAGCACATGGGCAAGGTGGGTTTATTCATCACACTGGGAAAGGCAATTAGCTTGGAGTTAATGAGCAATTTAATGACTGCAGCAAAACGCCACTGACCAGGGGGAACGGAATGAACCCACTCAAAGCTGAAGCCACAGAGGGCCACATATACATATATACATAGAACGTGATGGCACAATCAACCTCACCACTGCTGCTCCGGCTTCATGACGGAGGGAACAAAACATAAATCCCTCCCCCCATCTCATCCCTTCATATAAAAACTACATGAATCAATTCTCACCTCAGCTCACAGCCACTCTCTCTTTTGCTCCTCAGCTCATGATTTATAGGGTGAACACTGTCGGCAGTTTAAAGGTTTAGTTTTCTCTGTCAGTCGTTTGTCTGTCCACCATGATGTTTTTTTTCTTTCATCATTTAAGACCGACTGTCTGGCTTTTGCCTAACCACATTCTATTTAAGTTGTCTATTTTCTATTTCAGACAAACTGCCTTTGTTAGATCTTATGTGCCTAATAATCAAATGAGTATAATGGAGTTGTAATATTTTTAAAATGACAGAGTTGTTTTTAGATTGAAGAATGGAGGTTGTTGCTTTTTTTTTTTTTTTTTTTTTTCCTTTTTTTTTTGCATGGCCCTACACCCACTGCACACAACTGGTACTTACAGTATTCTTTGCTGCACCCATCTGCTCCCACAATCCGTTTTCCATTTGTGACAAACTTGACCGCCAGCCTTCAATCTGAATTTTGTGCCAGTTAACCATTTCACAAAATGATTTGATTCCTGTAAGATTCAGTTTCAGTATGACAAAAACAAAGGATATGATATAACAAACGACTGCCAAATCGTGGTTTGGTGCTTGTGTATGGAGCTATGATCTAAGAACAGAAGGCTCTCCAGCCCACATCGTGACTGTGCAGTGTCCCTTGCAGTGTCTACAGTCTCTCACTTGTCATGGTATAAGTAGCTCTCCATTTTTGTTAGCATCTCTCCTGTCTTTCCTACCTTTCCTGGAATCCTTCGGTAGCTCTTTTAAATGCAGACCAAAATGAAATTCACCTGCAGGAAGGAATTCAATGAATATGTGTAGGGCATTCACAAAAGTGAAAATTTATATAGACTGAACTAATAAGGTTGAGATGAGGTAAATATTGGGCAATTAAATACAGCAATTAAATTCATCCATTTTTACTGTTTGAGGTCAGTCCTGTTTGGTGCACCTGCAGAGAGGAAGACCTTAACATTAAAAGTCATTATCAGGACCCATCTCAAAGTGATTACATGAATATATAAACCACAAATTGGTCTGTCCTCTGAGAGATCAGTTGGTCAATAATTGACCACATAAATAACCTGTACAAGTCCCACAGTCAAATTTAGCTAGAACCTCTTGATGATATTCCTTGGTTTTGTAGTTTTGTAGTCTCCCACCCCCTGCCTGAGACTCTGGCAGCAATGGGCAGCTCCTTCAGTAACCGGCTGCTCCGCCTGCAGTGTTCAAAGGAGCGATAGCCCTGGACTTTTCTTCCTGCTGCTGTCAGACCGTACAACCTGCATTGTTCCCAACAGCCCACCAGGCACTCCACAGACACCCATAGACAGTAATATGTGTAATATTTCTGTGTAATACATGCAACTTTTAATCACCATTGCTCTACGTTTGTGCAGTATTACACCTCATGTAGACAATGTGCAATATTATACCTCATGTAAATACACTGATATGAATATCTTTCTTTTAACTATGCTTGATATCTACCCTCATCCATATCCTGCTGCATTTTGCTTTTTAGCACTTTTCTTTTTGAGCCTTGCAGTGCTCCCTCTATAATAATCAACTTCTCCTTTGAGATTATTGAGTCTTCCTTGAATGAATCATTTTTGAGGGCTGCAGCATCTGCCAAAAAAAATGTTGGCATACATACACATACTTGCCAACAATGCATGTGCATATGCAGGGCCTCATAGTATGTATTCCCCTCACTTAAAAAGAAAACAGCTTTTGAGCATTTGAGATTGTGATCGTGTGCAGAAATGCACAAGATGTTACTGTATTTAATGGAATAGTTGCAGCTTAACTTTGGCATCTGTCTCCAATTGAGAAAACCAGAAAAAGGGAGTTTGGGGATTAGGGAGCACATGCACACACAGCTTTGCTTTGTCCCAATTGTTGTCTAGTGGTGAAAGAACTTCCCTATGCAGTGAGATGCTACTCAGGACCTGTCCACAAAATTATGATTTTGAAATTGTGAGCATTTGCACTGTGATTCACCACCAAACCAGATGGTTGGGTTTAGGAATGATATTAAAAATACACAGGTCTTCTCTCATTAGCCTTGAGATGGTCAGGTTAAGGTATAAAGAAAAGATTTGGGTAAAGGTTAGAAATGTTTGTGGCTTGGCAATGGTTTGGTGTAGATCAATTGAGGGTAGGAATCTTTAAGAAAAGCCTCTCTCTCTCTTCCTGTAACTTCCGTTGCTTACAGAACACTAAGAGCTTAACATAAACTACATATTGAGCGTGATAATGAGAATGTGGAGCTATTGAATGGAAGTTGAACTATGAAATACAATCCCTGCAGTTTTGTTTGTTTGGTTTACTTGACTTCTCTGGAACATTATCCAAATTGATTCCAATTAGGGAATAAACCGCTGAGAGCATTGTTGTTTATGAGCAACCTGAGACACAAAACTGGTGTTACAACATAAGAGGCTTTTGTGTGTGTATTTGTGTTTCCCTTCCAGTATTCTCTGTTGGACAAAAGCAAACATCTGACACTCCCTCTTTGATAGTTAGGCAGAAGATTAAGCTCCAAGTTCTCTGAGGTGAAATCCTCTCTGGGTCTACTTAGTCCCAGGTCAGCCATGAGGAGGATACGAACTAAACAAATTACTAAACAGTCACGTTGTTTCGTGCAGAAGTTTAACAAAAACTTTTTTCCCTTGTACTTGAACATGAATAGTTCTGATCAAAAACTACAAAGAAACTGCTCTGACTAAAATGCTTCCAAAATCACCATATTTTAACATCTAGTCCTGCTTGTTGAATCATCTACACAATTAATTGTTACAATTAATACTTTTTCTTCTTTGTGTTATGCAAAGAATACGAGCAACACAGGACCAAGTAGCACGTACACACAGAGATTTGACCACACTGATGTTGGTGGGAAGATTCAAATGATGTTGCCCTGTGGTCTGCCAGACTGGTTGGTTTGTCACTGCGTGGGAGTTGATAAGATTGATATGCCAAGAAAAAAAAGAATTCCAGTCCCAAACAACATAATTAGATTCCCTTCTGTGTCCGGCTCAGTTTCACCAAGTTTCTGGGCCATTTATTTCTGTATTGATCACTGCCTATCTGAAACTGATGCTGATAACTGCCTCCAAGTCAGTTGTTTATTACCATTCCATGTTTTTGCCACACTGCCTCATATCAGTAACTAACCAGTCTCTTTCTCTTTCTCTTTCTCTCTCCTCCCCACCTCCCTCTCATTGTCTATAGTTCGGACCGACTGATGGATGACACAATAAGGTAAGACCTGTTTTTTTTGTCTTGCACACATCAGAAGACATTTATTTGTATTTGACAGCCTCTCAGCCCCTTGTTCATTGTCTTATCTACCTGCTGACCCCGACTCAACCCTCAGTATATAACCTCAGTATGGATCTTAACATGGCCTAGATATGTCAAGACTGGCAGCTCTTGTTGAACTAGCCCTGGGGACCTGTAGAAAAAATCCATCAGCAGCTAATATATGGTAGAAATGCTAACCCTGGGTGAGGAAATGAATAAACTGAACAGAAATGGTTTTGTCTCCTTAGCCCCATTTGAGGACAGCAATATAAGAAAGTAAAATGTTGTGTTTCTTGAGCCTGTATATATCAAACTACACCTTTGTTGTCTCTATACAACACATTCTCCTGATGATAAAGAAAAAAAAAAAAGACATATTCAGTACCCATTTGTAGGTGACTCCACAGGTGACTTCTCGACAATTTAACCATAATATTGTGTTATGGCCGATGATGATAAGTGTGTCAAATGAATTTCAGTAAAATTACCTCTTTAATTATCTCTCTAAATACTACTGTATCCACGAGGCTCGGCAGCCGTTGTTCTAGAAATGACAAGTAGAGTTGCTAATCAGAACTGTAGCAAATTAAAAATTTGAACAGTCGCTGAATTAATCTAGAATTAATCCACAATCTAAAAGTGAATCAGTTTACTGCCAAATATATTCACGATAGATGTTTCTTACTGTTGTGCTCTGGTTGACTTCTTCACCAATGTTTTTGTGTATTTTGTTGTGGACCTTGTATTTTTATTAATGAACTTTTCAGTGCCATTGCTGACTGTACTGATGATTCAACTGGGAGAGTTTCATGTGTCTCAAAGGCTTGGAAGTTTGCCAATTGCTGGTCACTTAATATAATCTGCATAAAATGAACAGGACTTGCTCAATGCTAGATGACTTCCCACTTCCCTGATTTGTGGGTATAATCCACCTGTCACTACTCCTCTTTCTCCCTTCAGGTCTACACAAATTACAAATATGTTGCTTAGGATCATTTGAGTTTTTTTTCCCACTGTCCTCCCTTGCTCCTCTCCCACTCATTACCTTTTCCATTTCCAGTCCTTGTAAACAATGGTTCCCTGAGAAGGGGTTTGAGCAGTGGTCTTACTGGTGGATTTTATCACTGAAATGATTGACGATGCTGTGTGACTTTTTTTTTTTTTTCCCTCCCCTTTTGATCCTCTATGTCGTCTCTGTAGTTTATGTGATTAAAATTGACATAAACTAACTCCCATTCAACAGGCTACTTGACAACCTCAGACCTTTCCTCAAGTTCTTTTCTCAGTGATCACTGACTGACCATATACAGTGTGTGAAGGGAATCTTTATCCCCCAGCTCTGATTCTCATGAGCTGGTTAACATTGAGATAAAGGCTTGTTGAGGTTGCTGGAGTCAGCAAAATGTTTCTTCCTGACTGAGGAGAACATGATCCCCAAAACACTGATCCAGGCCAAGACTGCGGACTGTCCCCTCAGCAGCCTCCATCCACGGGAGATGCCATGACCTCACCCACACACCCCACCCTCCACACACTCAAACTTACACACTGCAAATTCTGATTATACACACGCACGCACGCACACACACACACACCAACACACCACACACACACACACACACACACACACACACACACACACACACACACACACACACACACACACAAGGCCTGATGGTCATGTACCAGCCAAAAGAGTAAACAACCATGATGATTTCATTTACTTTGTTTTGACCTGTCTCTTATGGGGCTCTGTCACTCTGGGATGGGAGGAGTTTGTCCCCTGTGGCCAGTGCTGGTTGTCACCCTGCTGTTCAAGAGTTACATAATGCTGTTTGCAGTGAAGAAAAAAAACAGTTGTACCTACTATTTGTTGAGCATGTTAACACTGTACTTAGGTCAGTATTTTTACCTTGTAGTTGAAGTGGCGTTGATTTTACTGTTTTGTATTTAGTAAATTATCTAATGTCTTAACAAAGGTTGCATATACAGTTAATGTGTTAAAAAGGCACTTTAGAATAATTTGATTACTTATTAGTTTTTTTGACAGTGTAATAATGAACACATTTTTTGAGCCACCAGCCGGGCCAAGCTTAGCTTATTGCAGATATATCAGTATCTATATATGTGTCAGCCGATAAGCAACAAGAAATGTCAGAACAGAATTGCTAAACTAGGTTTGGGATAATTTAGAGACATGTTATCCACCAGAGAGCATTTACAAGTTTATTTTTCACCTGTAAAATCCCCTGCTCATATGTGTCTCAGCCACAGTTATTTCAAAATAAAAAATCTCAAGGAGCCATATCAAGATATTGTTTAAAGGATGTGTTTATGTTAAAAGAAATTATTATCAACCAATATATCATTATCAGATTTTTTTTTAAATTACCAAATATCAATATCTGTATCAGACTCAAAAATCCACAATTGGTTGGGCTATAATCATGATGTATGTAAAACCTCTGAAAGCTCGATAATTTCAGTATGTGTGAAAATCTTTACAGCTAATTTCCAACAACTCAAACACTCTGGTCCCTCTGTAGAAGTGAAGGGCTCGACAGGCTCTGTAGCTGTTATTGATTATTGTGTGTAACAGATGCCACAGAAGGCAAACATAGAGGCTGAAACTTTTCCTGCCAACTGCACAGCTGCACTTTCCTGCTCGGAGAGTTGCTGAGGCCCAATTTTGAGGACAAGAGAGGTACAATCTCAAAGCAATTCTATACCTTCTGTCTTCAAGCCCAGGCAGCTCACACACACTGTAGGCACCAATGTAAAGCTAAAGGAGAATGTGATAGGATGACTAATGTTTCACCCCAGAATGATTTCCCTCCTCATAGCATGGACTTACCTACAGACACAGACTTTCAATACTCATTTTTAATCATTACAGGAGGAAATTGAAATTGGGAAAACTATGTTTCACAGTTCCATATTCATCCTATAATGTTGAGTATGCAGGAATGTTTATTAGATGGTTATCGAATATGTGACAACACATTTAATTTCAGCAGGTTAAATGTTTGATTGAATACTTAATAATACAGTCGTGGTGTGAGATGCAACTAATGGCAGTGACTCAATGCATAACAAGGTTAATTGTTAATCAAATATCAGCAGATATTTTTTCCAGGATCAAAAAATTTGATTTTTGATATGATTTAACCTAGATGCCCTTGAGTATGGTGTATGTTGTGATGGGAGTGGAAACATTGGAAAAATTGTTTATTGGTTTTGAATTTAGATAAGACGTTGTCTTATTTATTTGTTTCATCTATTTTTTTCCCCAAAGGTATATTTAAATTGATTCTGTTGTCCTCTAACCACCTCTGACCCTTTAAACTGGATCCTCACTTCTCCAAAAACATCCCCTGCTGGAATTGAATTTCCAATCATATGTTGTCTGTACTAATGACTGCAACCACATGCGGTGTTGTCACTCCTTAACGCATTTCGCTCTGTCTCTTTAGTATTGCCATGGCGACCAAGGAGAACATGACCTCCCAAAGGGGCATGCTAAAATCCATACAGAGCAGGGTCAATACACTGGCCAGTATCCTTTCTGCTGTGTATGTGCATGGTTTTGTGTTGGGAACCAAATGGAAAAAAGCATACAATAGATTGAAAGCTGAAATGTTCCTGGTATGAAATTATTATTAGCCCTAGAGAAATCAGTGCTCACATATTGCTTTTCTATGATGAAAGTGGTTCTTTCCTATCAAGATTCACCAGGACGTAACAGCTGGCAGTGCTACTTTGGTCAAATCACACTGTTCCCTTTTGCTAAAGAATTGTTTGATGGATTTAGATGCCAAAAAGGCAAATGTAAACAAAGCTGTTTTTCTTATTTTATTTCCGATCCTATTAAAAATTCAGTTACTTAAATATTTGTGATCTTCCTTAACTTTTGACTTCCCTAGACCGTTTCCCCACTATTAACAATCTCATCCAGCGAATCAACCTGCGGAAGAGACGGGACTCCCTCATCCTTGGCACAGTGATCGGCGTCTGCACCATTCTCCTCCTCCTCTACGCTTTTCACTGAAAGCCAGGCCCGGTGAAATCTCTGAAGGAGCAGGATTGATCTGTTCTTTGTAGCTTGGGAGCCCCAGGAAACTGAGCTCAGTGATAGGAGGAGCCTGGAGGCCCCTGAGCAGGAGAACTTTCAGTTGGTCCAGTTCTGGGACAGGAACAAATTTGGCCAACATGAACTACTGAACTTGTATCTAGCAGTGGGACAGATGGAGGGCTGGTGGTTGGGTGCTCTTCTGCCAACAAGGGAATGGAGACCAAAAGTACAGATAAGACTAGATTTTAAAAAATTATATTGATAACTCTTGAAGAGAAACTCTGTGAAAGTGTGACTGTGTGATGCATAATTCTTTTTCACAGGTGGAAGGATTTTTAGTTGAATGGTCCTTTTTTAATTAATCGTGTGGGATGGATATTTCATTGTGGGCTGTAAAATGTGAATTAATAAATTATTCATATCAGTATGTGCAAAAAAAGTGTGTGACACTATTAGATACACAACATTTAAATCATTTTATTTTTCAAAATATATGATTTGAACTCTTGAGCCCACTCATTTTTGAGTGAGTCTAACTACAGATGCCACAGCAGTGCTCTTAAAAATTATTTTATATTTTAAACATGCCCTGAAGCCACTTTCTTTATTTCCTTTTTTAAAGTGGTTTTGAGGCATTTTATACCTCTAGTATGGAGTTGACATGAGAGGGAGAGATGGGGAATACCATGAAACAAATGTCCTTGGCCAGATTTGAACCATAGATGTTGTGGTTCATGGTCAGCACCTTAAACTTTTAGGTCACCAAGGTGTCCCGCTCCCACTAAAATTACATTTAGAGCTGAATTAATGCATATAACAGAAAATGAATCAACAATCATTTTTACTTTGAATTGATTAATTACTAATGTAATTTTTCAAACAAAAATTCCCTAGTGTGGAAGTTTGCTAGCTTTCCTTTCCTAAAATACAGTAAACTGAATATCTCTGGGTTTTGCACTGCTAGTGGACAAATAAACTATTTGGATATCTCATAAAGGGTTCTGGGAAATTATTATTATCGACAATTGGTCGATCATTCAACAAAAATAATAAGATAAAGAGATAAAAAAAAAACAAAAACAAAAAAAACGTTAGTTGCTATTTCCATTCATATCAGCATTTGCAATTACATACTTTTTGGATTTCACAAGAGCAGCTGAATACATCTCTCTTCAATAAGCAGTTATAGAATATGTCAAAGTATTAGGTAGAGGGCTGCTACAATACTTTGTTTTTCAGTTTGCATTTCTTCTTGGTTTGGTCACTTTTCCAACAGGCTCCATCAGTTCTACACACATGCAGACTGTTGAGTCACTGTAAAGAGTGGATATGGAAAATGACACTTTGCGCTGCTTTGATAATGCACTTTTCCCAGTATAGTGTGCCTGGCAGAATGGACCTCTTTTTGATTTCAGTCCACCTGAAAAACACGGTGACATGTGCAGTTGAAGCTGTGAACTAAAGCATTCACCCGAGAAGGAAATGATCGCAGACGGGCTTAGAGCTGTTAGATTAAAGTCTTACTTTGTTGGTTGGGCTGTAAGGAATGTGAAAGCAAGGCAGCTGTGTGAGAACCATCAATGTGTTTTTGTCTCACAGCTCCAGGCTGCTACTTGACTGGAATCCAAATAAAACGGTTTCACTTCAATGGACTGAAGAGGATAAATTTGGTTTCTTGTCCTCATTCCTTCTGTTTGAAGCCTTGCTCACAAAGAAAGACTGAAAGTATAGAAAACTTGGCAGTTTTGTGTAAAATGTTCATCCGCCATTTTTAAAGGAAGAGTCTTTTCTCTGTTTTCCAGCAGTCAGACAACAGTTGTCATCTTTCCCTGAATATCTTACTTCCTTTAGGAGGGAAACCCTGTGCTGAAGTCTAAATTTGGTTCAGACATGTACACGCTGTCAGTAGACTGCAGGGGTGCTGATGCATTCAACTCTTGAATATTTCAGCCACTCAAACTGTGCGGCACCCAAGCAGAACTAAGCACCAGATCCTCTCACTTATACGAGCCGCGCTACAGTAACTTTTGACAAGCACAGAGTCTGTTTATTCAGAGCAGCTGAAATGTAAGACAGTAGTCTGGTCCTCTGTGTCTGTGAAGAAAATCAGGTACCTATTTTAAGCAGCGTTTTTGAAAACTAAAAGCAGGGATAAATCACTTTGTCTGATGACATAATGCCCCCTATCATTTCCCACAGAAATATTTATTGATGAGTTGCGAGTTAAGTGTTAAATGTTAGGTTTTAGCAAATCAACCCATTTGTTTTTGCAATACACTGAGACACTCTTTGTACATGAAACCCATAAGTAAACCTTACCTTTTAATAGTAAGGTCACTTATGGATTTCATATGCCTGTATGTGTCATGGTTGTTATGTTTTCAGGATTGCATTAGGTCACAACTCTGGAGTTTGTGTGTTGTGTGTGTTTGTGTGGGGAGCTGGCTTTAAAAATGGAAAACCTGCCACTAATTCTTCATTTTATTTATTTTTCTCTCTCCCATCTATAGTCTGTACTTGTAGCAACCATGATAAATGGTGTTTGTGTTTGCTGAGGCACAATTGTGTATCAGGACCTGATGAATGCACAGGGTTTAGATGATAATAAAAGCAACAGCCGTACAAAATAGTGCCATCCAATACAACAGTACTTCAGACTGCAGCCATAACACAGTCCCTTCGATTCAGTCGCAATAAAACTGAACTTTACCCATAAATACTACATTCACAAATATATTTTATTCTATCACATTGTACTGGTGTAGCTCTTATTCCATCCATCCCCTGTATCTATGTGAGGTAAGTGAAAGAAATTGTGCTTACTCACATGCTTTTGATGTTTCTACCTTTTCTAAGGGACATTACCATTTTGTATCACTGACAGTCTCCATATTTTTTTTTTCTTTTTGCAGCTGTTCAAAATGTGCACTTACTATTCTGTATCCCTTGTCAACCTATGTCAGTCTGTCTGTCTGTCCACCACTTTGGTCCAGACTGAAATATCTCAACAACTATTGGATGAATGGCCGTAAAATTTTTTACACACATTAATGATCCACACTGGGGTGAAGCCTCCTGACTGTGGTGATTCCCTGACTTTACCTCTAGTGCCACCACGAAGTTGACAATTAAAAAAAATAAATAAATAAATATCTCGACTATCACTTGGATTGCCATGAAATTTGGCTCTAACATTCATGTTCCTATCAGGATGAAGTGAATTAACTTTGGTGATCCCCTGGCTTTTTCTCTTGCATCATCATCAGGCAAAAAAATACATTTGTCCAATACTGTGCTTTATGAACAATTACCTGCAGAACTAATGACATTCCCACCATCCTTAGATGTTCTTTGTATTAAGTGCTAATTGGCAAACTATAACTTAAACTACGATAGTTAACATGCTAAAATGTTAGCATTTATTTCAAGTGTAGAGTCACAGAGCCGCTAACGCTCTTGTTCTCTAAACTAATTTCTGCCTGTTCCACATAATTCCTCATAAACTGTATCATCAAAAGGCAACACTTGGACCATGCATGGTAACATTTATTCCAGACATGCAAAATGTACACCACAGAGATGAAAACTGACACGTACAATTATACTGCCAAAGAAAAACAGTAAGATATAGAAATGAAGTGAAGGTTTGAACTGTTTTACTGACAGAGCAGTGCTTATAGGCTGGACAGTTGACTCCTGACCACCAGTTGCAGAGATGGGAAATTTGTATGTTAGGGAATAACACTAGTGCAGTTGCCTACACTTGGTGTCATCTATAGACGTGAGGTTGCCATTTGGCAGCAATGTAATGTAACATCTTTTCTTTAATTTGGTAGTGAACATGAGGGATCTTTGGATTTTGCTGCTTTCAGATGTTTGGATAAAGAACATGATTTTTATGTACAACTCTGAATTGGAATGGAGTCAGCATTAACCCATTTAGCACAAAAACATTGTGCTATAGAGTGTTAATACTTGACAGACTGCAGTTGTTCAGCCTTATGTTGATGATGTTCAGTTTAAAACTTGGTAGAATCACTTTAGCTGCATAGTCTGATAAATTTAATTTCTCATCAGTCATAATAAGCTGGTGTTTCTCTTGTTTCACTTGTACGAGCCCTTAAGCAAAGAACAACTGGAACTCAACACACGGCATCACATTTTTTTTTTTATCACTTTAAAGGGACTCTGTCCAAATAGTTCCTGATTTAGATTACACAAGTAAAAAAAAAAAGCATTAATGCCCAAAGAAAAGCTGTGGCCTTAAATGACGCTACATGGTCTTACAGCGATGTTACCTGTGCTTGTAGCATAAGCCTGTTATGTGTCAATACAACAGTCCTGTGTATCCACAAGGGACTTACAGTGACTTCTCTCTGATAAAGTGACGAATACAGACAATCTGTCGTGCTTGGATTTTAAATAAAGATTCTTTAAATGCTTTTTGTTACTCAGTCAAACTCATAGGCCTGCTCGTTTACAAAAAATAAATATGTGTCAGCCGGTTCGGCGCATAGCATGCGTACATATTGCATATATATTTTCCCATATAAATACATTTCATACCATACCAATAAGGAGCAGAAAAATCATTCGGTGAAACAATGGTATTTAACAGTCAATGTATAACAATGTAAGAATGGTAATGGGAAATGGGGAGCTATGGTATAGAAAGGTAGTAAAAGGGGAAATGTAAAACGGAGTTGAAGGCTACAAGATGAAGGTACAGAGACAAAACTGAAGGACAGCAGCCACTTAGGTCATGATGTGAAAGGAAAAGTAGGAATTCAAAGCTGGTGGGAGGTTTGGCGTGGGTTTCTGTCTCTGCTAGAGCAAAGCAAGGTTCAAGAGATAGAAACAGAAAAGGAATCTGTTAGATCACAGTCCTCACACATTCTACAGTAGCTGGACTCACACAATGTACACAAATCACTCTTCCATGTGCAAACCTGTTAGCCTCTCTGACTCCTTCATAATAAAAGAGACAACTAATAACAGTCAAAACGAAGGCAGAATTTTGGTTATCTACATTCAGGCATGCAGTTGGTCTCAATTTTTTTTTAGTTCAAAAAAATTATAATAAATAACAAAAATTAAAAAATGTGTTCCCTGCCCCCTTTTTCACAAACCCTTGAATATCCACTGATAATCCAAGTGCTGACAAAGCCGCCATTGTGACAGTCTTAACAAACCCAGCACCACATGGCATACAAACATTATTATAAAATGTACATCTATATCTATATTTCAGATATATTTGTAGCTGTATATGCTTTGAATGCAAGAGGTTCAGTAAGGAATATATGAGGATTATATGCAGCTGTCCAAAGTTTGAAGTCTAAACCCAGAATCTGTTTTTCAAAGGAGCCCCATCCCAGACATAGAAAAAGACTATTGTTCACTCTCTCCTCATGTGTAGATCATTTTCTTCATGTAAAGAAGTCCATTATTCCAAAAAGAAACATTAATGAGTTCTCCTGACCGCGTACACATCTGCTTTACTTTTTCCTCTGTTTTAACCTGAACAGTTGTATGTCAGGTATTTGGTTATTTTTGACAAGCAAATGTTACTGGATTCTAGTGCATGCATCTCTGAATAATTTTTTTTCACTTGTTTACTTGCTGCAGTACCTACTCTCATGAGTTGCCTATTTTTTTTTTTGCTTTCTGAGGGTGGTCATGTGTAATTACAATATAGCATAAAGTTCAGAATTGTATTTGTTTTTTTTTCTTTTTTTTGTTTTTTTTGGAATGGGCTTTTATTTCTTGTTGCATCCGTGGTTTGACTTTCACGGTTTCTCAGGGTTTTGTTTTGCCCCTCTCAGGTCCTCCATGTCAGTGGCTTACTGTAAAACAGAGAAGAGGAAAGGGATGGCATCGTCATAGAGAGTCAGGTCAGACACAATGACAAATTCACCATCAAATTCTATATAAGGTTTTGACTGGTGAAGCTCCAGTGTGTAGGGCTTTGAGCACTAGAGTAGCCGCCTTTGCTGCACTGTCAGCCCACTACAGTCACTGCAGTGCTAAATCAATTTGCACACACACACGCACACAAACACGGCTTGAAAATGTGCTGAGTTTGGACATAGAAATACACACATCTCAATGCTGGTGCGGTAGTGTCATATATCACCCCGTAATCGTAATGCAGTAGGTATTCTTTGTTGTTGAACAGTTGTTGTTAAAGCCCCGTGTGTGTCTGTGAGCGTACACATACACACATATCATACATCATTATCAAGTGATATCCCTATGCATATTCATAAACTATACTGTAAGAATACTGCTAGATTAGCCTGCAACAAATGCCAAAGACACGTTAAGATGCTCCTAAACGTCATTTAGTCGGCATCATTGTATCTTGATTCGTCCTGCTTGTCTTTATTTGTGTACCTGAGACTGAGACGTAGACTATGATGATGACCACTCCCAGAACGATGGAGACAATACTGAGCAGACGTGCCAGTCGACCCAGCCTCCTGGCCCCATCCATATCCCCCGCCTGGAGGCTGTTTCTGGACTGGAGACAAAAGCACACGGTATTACCAAGAGGAACATTTTGATGATAATGTTAATAAGTAAGGCATATATGATGAATGTTGCATATCATCAAATATAGAATGTGATTTCCTGCTAACCCCTTTGTTTGACGGTCCATGTTTGAGGGTTTAGCATCCCAGAAAATCCCAAGGAGATACAATGTATACCAAACAGCAGTTTTTATGAAGGATTTGAAGGAATCCAATGCATTCACAATCACTCAACTCAAATGTTGTACCCTTTTCATTCCTCCCACCACAACAAGGAAACCATTAGGGCGGACATCTTAACCTTCATGTTCCTGACTTCAGTCATAATGTTGTTAACGTTGGCATTCGAAGGAAATCAAATTTAGCTGCAGGTGGAGAAATAAGTCAGAGAGCACTAAGAGTGAGGTTCACTTCAATGAGAAACAGAATCTATATTTCCATGACAGACCATCTCAACGGAATCAACAGTAACCATATGGAAACTTAAAATATTTATCAGGTGGTTTTCCATTAATCCACAGCCGAGTTATTTTAAAAGTTACAGGACACGAATGCAGTGCAGTAATGTTGACTTGTGTACTGGGTGCTGTGGAGTCTCGTCAGGTAAAATGCCAACAATAATTTATACCCAGCTGTGAATAGTGAAATTCTCTATTTCAGATTGGGATTGATGGAAGGATGTGACTTGCAGAGCCAATTGGATGGAGTACGTGAGTACATGAGTGCAGCGGAGTGAAGGGATTGTATATCAACTTAATGTTGTATGTATATTGCTTTTTCTAGGCTGCAGATATAGAGACAGGATGATTCGTGTATATGTGTGAGGCATGATGGATGAGGATCCTCAGTTCTTTGTGCATTGCTTTCATGGGTGAGATTCCCCAAGGCAAACAGTTGATATCACTATTGTCTCATCAGCTTTGTTTTGTCTGTAATTTGATCTTCAGTTTAGTTTGTTTTTAATGTGTAAAACTCTCCGACACATGTCACATACAGGCACACTGAACTCACGAAATAGCATAACAATTGTGACATTAAAAAAACATGGGCGCATATCATTTTCAGTGCACAAAACCAACTAACCTGCTGGTAAATATACTGACACACACACACACACACACGCACACACACAATGATTGCAATGTATGCATGTGATGTATGCAGGTGCTGCTCTATGATAGTGTGTCTACAATTGCAATGCTACCTGGTTTCATCAAGTTCAAGCTGTCAACCCAGAGGACATCCAGCTGAAGGCAGGCCAGTGTTTGAAGACACTGACAAGCTCATTGCTCATTGACAGAAGTAAGGCTGAAGGTAACTATTTTTTTTTTATATTATCGATTTATCTTTCAGCTATTTTATTTTATAGATTCATCACTTAGTCTATAAAATGTCTGAAAATAGTAAAAACAAAATGCTTTAACACAAACCTAGAACCAAAGGTGACGTGTCCATGTTTCTTATCTTTGAGTAGCTAGAACCAGAGAATGTTTGGTGACTGGTGGCAACATTCTTAATGATTAATGGATGATCAAATTATTTTTTATTTAGAATAGTGAACACTGGAGAGTTGGAAAAACATTGCCTGGTCAATGAATGTCACTTCCTG